GTCAGCGGAAATGAACTCCTTGCTCCCCGATCCGATAAGAATCACTGCCTATCTTAAAAAAATAAAAGTATGCATAGATATATGTAAAAAAATCGCCATCCCCTCTGCTCCCTTTCAACAATAAGCTTTACCAAAGCCTTCACGCTTTTGTAAGAAAGCTCAAGAAAAGCTACTATCTTCGGGGTCTTCATGGGGCACTCATGAAGCAAAAATACCTATCTAACCCCAACTATACTTTCCCATTACATCAGGACAGACCCCAGGCAGACATTGTTGAAGGGATGATGTGCCTATGGATATGCAGAAAACACCATGAGAGAAAGAAAAACTCGTATTGGCACCTAATTCAGCATTTGCACTATTGGCAGATCTGCAAGCATTTTTTTTTTACCCTGCCAAACAAGTGTTCGCTCCACAAATATCCTATCTAAAAATGATACAAACTTCAATGTAAAATTATTTGGAACGAGAAAGTAACTTGGGCGTTAAAAGGAGCACTAACAAGTGGGTAAGCGGCTTCCAGATACACAGATTTTATGGGCCATTTGCAAGCACAGTTGATTTCAGCCCAATTTAATGTGCCAGTCTGCCAAAACAGCAAAGAGATGAAAAAAAATCCCAACAAACTGTATTCAATACGTTCGTAAAAGTTGGCCTGGTGGTGTATAGATGCACCTCAAGAGACCAAGGACAACTCATAGATGAGATGAAGCCTGGGAGATCTTGGACAATGAGCCACTTATGGAAGTGGTGATGGTTTCTCCTCCAGAGGGTCAGGACAAGAGTAACAGGAGGTGACTCAAGCCAGCGTGAAGAAGAACTGACAAAAAAACTCCAAATAGGAAATAAAATGGGTGCTACCATTGCTACCCTTTTTTAAATACAGGTTCCCTTCAAAAAAGGGAGTAATTAGGCCAGCACAAGTCAGGTCAGAGGTGACAGAGCCGTGTGATGGCATGTGATTTTTATTTTATTTTTAAATTAGTTGGAAGGGGGGATTGTCTGAACAAACCTGGATGTGCCTGGGACAGCAGGGGGAGCTGCGAGTCTGCGTTCCTCTGCACGTCTATTTAATTGCGCTGAATATTTGGACAAAAACACAGAGTGTGCTTGCACATCACCATAGAAAGATGTCTGCATGTCTAACAAGCTTCAAAAAAAAAAAAAAATCAAGTTCATAACAAAGCATTAAACAAGGAGCAAGAGATAATTGTCACCTTCTCTCACAAGATAATAAAAATAGTTACACCATAAACATAAAAATCTTTTAAAAGACCCCTGACAGCATTCCCTCCTGGATCTATCACCATAGCAATGAGCATTCAAATAGGGGGAAAGTACCGCTGAATTCTGTGTTTGGTATTTTCAACTAACTAAAAATACAAACTGGAAAAAATACACACGGGTGATATAGAACGAAGCACACAAACATAAAAAGCCTTCAACGAAATTAAAGGTGGCAAATTCCACCTGCAAATCTTTAATGCTCCAGGAAAGAAATCCTTTAACCAGGTAGCATACATTGAGGGAGTGCTGCAGATAACTGTAAACCCATCTGATAGCTGCTGTATCCAACAATTTCTATTTATAACATTTTGCACAGGTCAATGTAGAGGCGCAGTGGCAGTATTGTGTGAAATTTGAGGAAAAGAGGTGTGTTAGAGAGAAAGCAGTAGAATAGGAGACCTAAGAATCAGAAAAGCAAGGTACTTTGTAAGGTAAGATTTCGGCACACGGCAGAGCTCTGGAGGGGGGTGCTCGCGAAGTAGCAAACCGCATCTTCTCTAGTCGGTGCTGTTAAATAGGTCTTTTTTTTTTCCATGACATTCAGATCCAAAGCCAAGATTAAATAAAGGAGAGAAGAGTGGATTGTTTTAAAATTCCTCTCCCCGCTGCAGACGTCAGGAGCACACACAAAAGCAGGTGCCGGGTGTATTGATCCTACTGAATACGCATGGAGTGGGTACTTGAGCATGTACCGAGCATCTGCGTCTGGGAGATGGAAGGCGCTTTGTAAAAGGCTGTTTTATGCTAAACAAATGCATCAGGTTATGTTTTTATTTTGAATATTTTAAAGCATCTCGCGCGCTGGGGCAGGCTTGAAAAAGAATTATACAGACAACTTGCCATTAATTGTACAAGTTACTCTCTCCATAGCTGAAAATTGGCTGTGGGCTCACTTCAGAGCACTCCAAGCTACTGAAAACCATCCTCAGTCAAACCTCCTCTGACTGCTGCACCTTAGAGAACTGGAGATGCTGCATCTCAAGACTCTTCAGCTCCCACACGCCGACCCAGCTGCAAGCAGGCAGAGGGACAGAGGCATTTCTTCCCAACAGCTCCTCAACACACCCAGTAGGGAAGTGACAGATTCAACACTGCCATTTCATACCAGGATCATTCAAAAAGGCTGCAGTGGACACGGCTTACAGACTTCAATAATGAAAAAACAACATACTGGCACATTTAGAAGAGAAAACAAGAGGCATCCATTAGCAAATCTGGCTGTAGTTTCTAGTAGTCCCCAAGATGAACGTTTTCCTTCTTGTAGACCCACTATGACCAAAATCTGTACTAGAATCAAACTTTGTACTGTGTTTGCTCATGGAATCTTTTTTTTTTTTTTTTCCTTTTTCAAGGAGGGAAAAAATTAATCCCAACAGGAGATGACAAGATGCCTTTTAAAGTACATATCTCATTTCTGACTACAATTACCTTTCAATAGCCTGGCACAGCTGCACGCTCCTATTTGCTTTTTGTTTTTCATTAAGGGCTCCTCTATTATTTGTACCCATCCTATAGCATTTATGCCTGGCAGTGATGCATATTCCCTTGCCTACGATTCTTCCCACAGATAGTAGAGAATAAATTGCAATTAGATTTTCGTAATTGTAGATAATTAACTCAAAATGAGCTGTTAATTATAAAAAAACCTATGTATTTCAGTTCTTGATTATATTATTTATTTTACTTCTAAACTCCAATATCTCACTTCAGCAAGTTCAGTATTTTAAAGGACTTTCACCATTTCCTTTACAATACCAGAATACTTTTACGTTAAGTTTTGCTTATTTGCAGACTGAAATCAAGTTTCATGCTGTGAGATTTGCTAGAGGAGCTCTCGTGTATGAACTGGAAGTCAGAGAGGACTGGTTTTCCATTAGGGTTCTGATAGCATTTGTTTTAACTAGAACAGATCAATTAAAAAACAAGTAACAACAACAACAAAAAAAATCCCAAACAAAACAAAAAAAACCCAACCAAAATAATGGAGATTGTTAAAAAAAAAGGATATATTCCTACCAGTTCTTTCTCCTTCCTAAGCTCTAGCCACACACTTGCACGCTCTCTCTCGATACCGAAGAAAACAACACTTACATATTCCAATGCATAAATGAGACAAATGGACTTGTCTTCCGTAGCCTCTTTCAGCCTTACATTAGAGTAAATTATTTAGGGAGCATTCATCTGTTAACCTTTACAAAACTGAAGATGGCATATAGGAAGAAAAACTTCCAAGTGTTTTGCTGCCAAACTTCGGAACCAGCTGGCATGGCAACTTGAGACTGCACGAACACATACTAACTTTGAAAAATTACAGTAAATTAAACTAAGGGAATGAAGAGAGGGTGGGGAACCCTTTGAAATCTGGAACTCTCATTTTGTTAACAGCACAGGTTTTCCTTATTTTCCTGCTAGGCTATGTAGATTTTTTGCAGGTTTTTGGTAAGCTGTTGCCAAGAAGCCCTTGCAAATGTTCTAGGTTACATTTTTCCTCCAGGGAGCTTAATGCTACTGCGTCTTAAGCATATCATGACTCTCTATCTCTTTTGTTACAGTGATCACACTTTGATCACTTCAGTCTGTGCGAAAACCAAACAAAAAACCATCGGAATACAATGAGGGTATGCCAGTAACTCACAGTAGCCAAACACCTGGTTAAGCAGTGAAGTATTCCAAGGAAACTAACAACTCCTGCTCTTCTGGAGAAAGAAGTCTTATCCCCTTTCAGTGAAGAGGCATCTCAATAAAATAAGTAAAATAAAATAAGTATCCCTTAATGTAAAAAAAAAAAAAAAAAAAGAAAAAGAAAGTATTGGACCCTTAGTTTATAAATAACTCAACAGTTCTTCCAGTATTCTCATAGTGGAGAGAAAAGATTATTTTAAAGTCTTCTCTTGTCACTAAAAAAGGGCCCATGCAAAAGACAGCTGCTCATCTTGCCCACCAGACAGGGAATACTTTGGTCAAAAGAACATCTATAGTTACAACATAAAACAAGAAGCTGCTGTTTTTTGAGAAAGAGAGAGAAACCCTGTCAAATCCACAGTTTTTATATGTTGCTTTTCTAATAAGCCTGAATCTTCTTCCAGTGGTGACAGGAAACGCGACAGGGTAGGGCAGAAAGAAAACACAGTAAGGTATTGATTAGTTTTAAATGGCACACAAGATCGAGATAAAGAGCTAAATATTGGCATCACTCTACTTCCAGCTATTTCAGTGGTAGTTTGCTCTGATCGCACTGAAGCAGAGGTGCAACACAGTATTGTTTAAAAAAAAGTAACTGTCACCAATTGTAAAAGATCATTTTTATCTGGGAGTTAAGGGATAATGTATTTTCTACCATCACGTACAAATCAAGACAAAAGAGATGTTCTGATCCTACCTGGAAAAAAATAACAAGCAGTACCTAGAACAAAGAAGAAAAGCTAAGATTTTGTGAAAACTCCATTTTGCTCTGGTCTAGGTTAGTGTCCTTAAGAGATGACACAGAAAACCTGAGACATCTACAGGAAGTCAGCTCCTAAACCGTGAGTAATAGCAGGTCAGCGTAACTATTGAGTTGACTCAAAATGCGACAGCCAATGAATTTTGCCTTTCTGGGAGAAAAAAAGCTCTTAATCTGAAACAAACACACAAATACACTTGGCAGCCAACAGCACACTGTCAAGAAGATATAGAGACACTGTGAAGTACTTAGAAATGAAGAGAGAAATTACCTCGGCCCCATGCTGTTGCTGTTCATCATCAGAGCAAGTTCTCCACGTGCTTCATCAATGGGCACATCTTCTGAAACAGGTACGTGGCCTCTAAACCTGAAAAAGCGGAAGGAAAGGTGAGGTGTGTGTCTACAAATAGGGCACCTAATCACGATAAACGCAGAAGTTTCATCACTGTTTTCACACTTTCAAAAATGCTTTTGTATTGGAAGACTGACTTCTGTTCAGTGCCTTTGCGTCTAAGGGTTTCCAGTGGGAAAAAGATGAGAAAATAATTCAGTTACTGATTTGCAAGGACCTGCTCCCTGTAGACAATGATGACGGTATCCAAAACCAAACATCCCTGTTGGGCTCAGGTTGCAGCTCCAGCTGCAGTGGAGTTCAAAGGCATCGTGTGTAAACTGTATAAAATGTAGAATTCATTTGAGACAGTGGTGTCTCCTGAAACTATGGGCCCACCCATGATGCTCCATTTTTACTATAATATCCCACCTTCTTCTTTCTCTCCAATGAAGATAGAAAAGTCAACAACAGAGGTACTTCTCCCTTTTCATTTGAATAAAATTCCCATTTCCAGGATTTACCCATATTTGTCTCTCTGGCTTGGCTGGCATCAGGAGTCACTGAATTGTCCCCTTCCCTGTGCACACACCATTATTGACAGCAAAGCAATTATTTCACATACAGAGAAACTGCAAACTGAAAGAAAGTACTATGCTCACTTGAGGCTAAATAGGGAAATGTGGGAAATTAAAATGCAGTTATGATGCAGTGTGGCCAAAAAGAGGATCAATTCATACTTTAGCTAAAAGAGCTGAAGAGTTGATAGCCAGTAATTACAAATGGTCAGACCTTTTACTTGTCATTCAATGACAATACTTTCAGCAGCTCAGAATGGACCTTAACCAGCAGTCCATTCATGCAATAAGGACAGACAAAAATAAACACTATCTGGAAATGGATTTTTGTTGTATTGTTTTTTTTTTTTAAACTGTCATGATGTTAAGAGATGAACTAGGTTAGAGCCTCCTGACAATAAAGCAAAGGGTATTTGAGCTTAGCTAAACAAATTTTTATTGTTTGTAGTAGATAAAATTACCCTGTTACCAAGTGCAAAAGTGAATTATATACCCAGAACTGAAACGGGACTGTGATGCCCAAGAGATTTACCTGTAAATTTCAAACATTTAATTCTAAAGAGACTGATTTTTTTTTTTCTTAAGAGCAAGCACACTGTAATCTAGTTGCTTTTCTTAGAGAGAATATGCCAAATATGCTTTCACCTGCACCTCTGAAAAGAGATCATGAAAATACTGAGTCCTAAGATTAATCATATATGATTTTCTTTCACAGAATTCTTTTCAGTAACTAGAGCCCTGTAAACCATGAAGGGTTTTTTAGGAGGAAAAAAAAAAATAGTAGGCATAATGGCATTAACAAACACATCATTATAAATATATTTAAGGTCAATTTTTTTTCTGGGCTTATGATGGCTCAAATGCTGAAAAATATCCAGTAGAAACAAAAACATGAAAAAACTCAGTCTGGATGTCCTTCATATTCTACTTGTTTTTCATCAGAGGAAAGATGCATGCATAGAATTAAGGTATTTGATGATTAAGAATCCATCTGTTCCTACTTAATTCTCACCTGAAGTCATAATCCTTTGTTTGTGACCTCAGTCATTTTCAACACACACAATTGTGATTGCCTTTAAGGCAGGCATTTTTAAAGCCATATAAACACATTATTTTCAATGTAAACCACAATCCAAGACAACAAACAAAAGACCACCTAAATTACAGTCTTCTCTTCCTGAGTTTGAAAAGTAACCAGGAGGCTGGGATTAAGAAGAGAAAGTGATATATTCCTCCTTGGTGGTTTTAATACGCGAGCGTAGGAAGTGGGTCATGTAATGCAGACTCTCACGGGATACTGTCAGCAGTTGCCATATTAAAAAAGTATCCAAATAAGCATCCTTGTGAAACCCTCCTATTGCTGCTTCTAAAAGACTGCTACATTTTTCCCCATTGCTTTCCTTTAATAATGCTGAAATGCTAGTACGCAGCTGAGTTACGCTGGCTAATTCACCTGGCTTTAACCAGCTCCCTTTCACTGTTCCTCTCCACTCTACTAACGTGATACCAATAAACCAGTTTCTCCCTCTTTCCCAGAAACACTATTTACATTATCAGGAAGGCATTACCTCACAGGTAGCTCACAGGCCCTTTCAAGCCACATCCTGTATTTCTATGGATATTGCCTTTCCCTTCTTCTAGTTTTAGGTACATATTGCACCTCGGTCTTGGCATTCTCCCTTCTGAAAACATTACTAGGAAGAAAATGTCCTTGATATACAAAGCTCCCTTCTTTTCCTCGGTCTTGGCATTCTCCCTTCTGAAAACATCACTGGGAAGAAAACGTCCTTGATATACAAAGCTCCTTTCTTTTCCATATATATATATATATATATATATGGAAAAAATAAAAGATCTGTTCCATAAATATATAAAACGTTCTCCATCTTTTCTGTAAAACAGACATATATGGAAAAAATAAAAGATCTGTTCCATATATATGAAATGTTCTCCATCTTTTCTGTAAAACACACTTCTTCCTAGGTATTCCTGAATACCTAGAAGAGTGCAATACTTCAAAACTGACCTCTCCAAGGAAATAAGGGAGAATGCTGCACCCACTTTGTCCATGCCCACGCTGTTCTCTTGCCAAATGCCTGTATTCCTTCAAGTGCCTGCACTAAGATCAACTGCTCCTCTTTCCTTATCTACTCTTGTAGCACAGCTTTTCTTGTGCCTTTCCTTCTACCACATACTGTTTTCCTCTGCTGCTTTCCACAGCTGTCATGCTGTTTCCCAACAGGATATGCTAATATACTAAAAAGTCTTCTCTCCTCTAAATCACTGTTAGAGAGAATTTGTGCCACAGGTCTTGCCTATCTTATTTTATCAGTTCCATTCTCCCACTTTAATTAACTACTGCCCATGTGTTCATTTTTTTTAAATTATAAATCTCAAAGTCACCTGTTATAATCCATGCGGGACTGGTGTAGTTGCTGTTGTTTTAGGAGCAGTTTTGTTTCCTGCTTAGCCAATAGATGTTGGAGTCGCTCCTTTTCAATTTCCAGCTCCATTTTCTGCAGAAGCAGCTTCTGCCTTCGCTCTTCGTACAACCTTTTCGTCTCTTCTGTTTCTTTGGGCCCCGAGTCCACGTTGTCATTCAGACCAGAAACTCGAGAGTGCCTCGAATAATCGCAGGTTTTGTGAACTGGCCCAGAGTGTCTTCTAAGTACCTGGTTGACGCTCCCTGAGCTCCCTCCGTGCCTGCAGGCACAACTCTGACTCCCTGGCTGAGGGCACGAGCTCCGAAATTCATTTCCTTTCCAGTCTATCTCCTGAGCTGGTTTTACACAGTGAGGGCTCCTCTGCTTGACAGGGGAAGTCACGTTGTTACACTTTCTGTGCAAGGCATTTTCTACAGGACATTCCTTCGGACACTTCTGATGGTTGAAAGGGACTTCAGTCCCGTAACCATGATTATTCCTGCATGGTTGAGACAACGCCACCCGGGCTGGGCTTCCACCCTTCGATGCTCTACTGTTCTGATAAAAAGTTTGAGGTGCCCCAATACCCAAGTAGGAACCATCCAGTTCCAAAGATGCTTGTTGGCATGAGCTCTTCTTACTGCATACCTGCAACAAGAGAAACAATTTCCCGTGAATGGCCAGAATTTATCTTTGCTTATTCATTTCACTTGGTGAATGTGTTTTCTCAGAAATAGACTTGCTGCATCATGCTGATGGACATACAGCCAAACTCGAGAAAATGTTTATCAGAAGACAGACCCAAATCTGCTTTCAAATCTACATTTCATTCCATCTACACAAGTATAATAAATGTAAAACTACTGCCTGCAGGATCCTCAGCATAAAATAAGTCACTTCAGAGTATCAAGTAGTTGTGAGCATCTAGGGTTACATAAAATCAACTTGAAGAGTGGCAAAAAACATTAAATGTTAATGTTTGAAAATGTTTAATTTTGAATACTGAGCCAAAATATCCATTCAGCCACTATAAATACTCTTTGATTGGCCATTACACAGCAGGAGATTTGATGTAAAACATTTCACCTTGCACTGAATGGGATATTACTTACCGCTGGAAATTTGATGAGAGTTTTTGAAATATCTTTACAGAAACACAGATAAAAACCAACTACTTTCTGTAAAAAATGGTTGTACATCAAAAGCTGTCATTTAAATACAAAACATGTTTAAATTCAGCTATAAACCTAAGTGATTTTTCAATTAAGCCGGGCAAGTGATTATGCTCTGTTAAAACTCTGAAGAAAGCAAGCAACTATAATTCACATTTGTCAAGCCAGTGCAAGCAAATTCTAGTGGTTTTGTTAGACTGGTGGATATTATGCAACAGACATCAAAATCCTACTTACATCCTGGAGAATCTCTGCACTATGGTTCATCTAAGCAGTTAAGCATTTGAGACTTTATGTACATCAGAACAGCAGTGAATCAGGCACTCACATTTCTTTTGCTAGAGCTGTGCATTAATTTCAATAACATACTGAATTTAAACTCCTCCAGCCTTTGGGACCTTTCACAAAGATCTAATTTTTTTAATTACAGAAGCCAGGTTTTTTAAAAGATAACAAAACCACTGCAGTGAAAGTGGCTTAGCAGGGAAATTTGGTATCCACTGATGGAAAGAAAAGTATTATTTGCACTCTGGCAGTGCTTGCAATAAATAGGTATTGTCCGCATAGAGTGGAAGACAGTCAGCAAGCCCCAAAACATGAGTACTTAGGAATGCAAGCAAGCGTCCAGCGATGATTAGAAGAGAGCTGTAATCCAAATCTATGCAGTGTTTATATGTATAATTTAAATTCTTTTTTATAAATAAACAAAATACCAAACACACTCTGCTGCCCTTCAAGACAACCAATTACAAGTTTCTTGTAGACTTCACAGAATGTAAATTAATGTGGATTAGCACCTGAATGCTGATATTTTATTATTTCCAGTTTTGTGGATACAAATATATCCTCTCTGCCATGTGATTGAAAGCCAAGGATGTCATATTTTGCCCCAAAGGGCCCAATGAGTTGGAGGCATTTGCATTAATGTCAGTGCTAAATGTCTGAGGAAAGTCTGGTGCTTGGACTGGGTGAAAAGTGCAGGACATTAAAATATTTTAAAGTCACAGGGGCTGGCAGGGCAACTGAGCAGAAATGCAACATGCTGCCAAAAAGATGGAGTTTTGTTATTTATTATTTGTAGCATGCCATCCCTGTCTGCAATATTTTCTAGCCAAATAAAGGCTACAAAGCCCTTTTAATCTAAATTATACAACAGATAAAGGGATGACCACCAGCAGGAAGAAATATGACAGAAAAGGGAAAATAGGAGAATCCTGTGGTTACGCTCTGTCTCTCATTTCCCACCTCACCTGCTTCTGCCGATGAAGCATTTAGGGGACCAATGAAACAGGCTTTCACGGTGGCCAGTTTCCCAGCCCCCTAGGACAGCAGAAGGTGGCAGACCTGAAGGTATTCTTAGAGGATCGTGTCAGAGCTGGCAGCTTAGGGTGGTCTACAGAAAGCATACACCTACCCTTCTGCAGCCCATAAACAGAAGAAACAAAAGGAACAAAAAAAGAAGACTCAAAAGATGAAAAAACTGAGAATTTCCTTATTTTAGCGGTTTGTTTTATTGATTGAAGAGACAAAAGAATGTTAAGAAATCGAAGCACAAGAATGAAGATGGTACAAAATAATCACCAGGAGCAGGTTTAAGAATAAAGGCCCACATTGCAAATTAACTTCATGGCTGAGACTCTATTAAGAGTCCCTGAAGGCCCTAAAAGAGAGGTACCAGTTAGCATTTGTTGACCTTGGCCGCCATTAAATCTGCCCTGATGGTCTCAGAAATGGCATTGACATTTAAAGACTTCATAACAAGGCAGAGAAACTTTAATGTTATTTCACAGTTACAATATGTTTGCAGGGGGAAAAATTCTCATTAATGTCATTGAATGTGAGTGGGGTTTTTTTATTTCTTTAGAAGAAGGAGGTCACGTTAGGCAGAAGACCGAGTTCTAACAATGCCTTTGACGGCTACTCAGTACTTTGCAGGGTCTAACCCCAAAGAAAAATTAATTATTGGGAGTTAGAAGCTAGCGAACAACTTTTTGTGTTTTTCTGTTAATGCTTTAGTTGAAAACTACAATGGGATGGTAGAGACTGTAGGGAAGGTGGACTGACATTTACACTTAGGAGGGATCAGATGAGACCAGAGCATGCCATGACAGGTCTGTAAGACGCAGGCCAAGTAAGGGAAAAAACAAAAACCAAAAAAATTATAAAAAAACAAACAAACAAAGACTCATCTACTACCATGAGTCCAAAGATGCATAAGCATAAGGAATTGGGTAATTTTACAAGATGAGTTTAAGAAAGATATTGCCTACGGGACACATGGAAACCATGCCGGACCATGATGGAACAGCTGTGCTTTCCCCTCCGTGGAGCTCTTCCACGCTTGCTGTTCGGTATTTAAAGATACAACTTCCTTTAACTGAGGCTTAAACAAACAAACAAACTCAGACTGCTCCTTGCAACATATGGAGTTAAGAAGACGATCAGATGTGAAACTCTTGCATGGAAACAAGGAGATACTAAAAAAAAAAAAAAGTTCAAATAATCTTTAGAAGGGTTTAAAGAGGAAGACATGTGGGGAGCTCTACAAAATCTTTACCGCAATCCCAGTAATTTTTGCTCAGGGATTCAGAGCAGAGCTTAAACAAACATCCAGTCCTTAAAACTTCCTACAAACAGACAAACAGCGCACCAGTTTTATGCACGCAGCATTATCATCTCTGCAAATTCTTCCTAACTGCAACTTGCGTGCTCTGCAGTGCTAATTCACAGCACTGGGAGAGGAGACGCGTTTATACGATGACTACAGCAACCAGGGCTTCGCACCACACAGGATGAGCCAGTAACTGATCAGATCTTACAACCTCAACGCAGGCCAGGACCTGACAGATTTCACTGGTACAAAACAGTTAAGAAATAGCCCAAAATCATCATGCAAGGTCCTGCACGCAGACCAAAACAGTTAAGAAATAGCCCAAAATCATCTTGCAAGGTCCTGCATGCTGGTTGGGGCAATCCCAGGGACAAACACAGGCTGGGTGGAAAATGGCAGCCCTGAGGAGAAGGACCAAGGGGCAATCCCAGGCATAAATACAGGCTGGGTGGAAAATGGATGGGGAGCAGCCCTGAGGAGAAGGACTAGGGGCTGTTGATGGGTGAGAAGCTCAACATGAGAAAGCCAACTGCATCCTGGGCTGCATCAAAAGAAACGTGGCTAGCAAGTTGTGGGAGGTGATTCTGCCCCTCTACTCTGCTCTGGTGAGACCCCATCTGGACTACCGTGTGCAGCTCTGGGGCCCTCAGCACAGGAAGGACATGGACCTGTTGAAGTGAGTCCAGAGGAGGCCCATGAAGATCATCAAGAGGCTGGAGCACCTCTGCTGTGAAGACAGGCTGAGAGAACTAGGGTTGTTCTGGAGAAGAGAAAGCTCTGGATAGAACTTATTGTGGCCATCCATAACTTAAAGGAGACCTTATAGGAAAGAAGGGGAGGGACTCTTTATCAGGCAGTGTAGCAATAGGACAAGGAGTAATGGTCTTATACTGAAAGAGGAGACTGTAGCAATAGGACAAGGAGTAATGGTTTTATACTGAAAGAGGAGACATTGAGATTAGATTTTAGGAAGAAATTCTTTCCTGTAAGTGTGGTGAGGCACTGGAACAGGTTGTTTAGAGTTGTGGATGCCCCATCCCTGAAGGTGTTCAAGGCAAGTCTGAATGGGGCTTTGAGCAACCTGGTCACCATAGGAGGCATCCCTTCACATGGCAGGACGTTGGAACTTGATGATCTTTAAGGTTCCTTCCAACCCAAACCCTTCTATGATTCTATAATTACCTTGAGAAGTCTTGCACTCTGAGGGCAAAAGCTAGGAATGTATTGTCCTAGCACAATACGGTGCTGTTAATGGTGAACAGCCAAATTCCTATAAATGCTGACAGCATTAGAGTTTAACCCATAGGACCTGGGTTAGTACACTGTTGCTGAAATATTTTTGAATACAGAAAACGAGACAATGAACTAAAATCGTGCATAGTGTATCTTGAGAACATTTCCCTAACCTGGATTTTCAGCCCTGGGGTTTCTTTTAGTGGGGGTAGTAACAGATGGGGGAACATGCAGGTTCAGAACTCGTCCACTGCACTGATCTGAGCGTGAACCCTGGAGGAAGTCAAGAAGAAGGAACAGAAGCAACAACCAGAGGAGAAATACAGACCTTTAAAGATGAAGCAAAAATTTCTAAATGGACAAATGAAAGGCTACGGTACACAGGGCAACCTAAAAGAGCACCAAGGGCACCTATTAGTGACAGAGCTGATGCACTCGCTGAGGTATACATCCTAAACCTGGAACGTCGTCACCAGTGTGCATCCTTGATGTGTGGGTCTCATCTGAATAAAGCTTGCCTTTGGGTTTGCAGGTCTATCGACAGTATAAGCACTTGCTCTTGTCAGTAGAATGAGGAGAATATATTATAAATAAGCTCAGGTAGGATAGCAGGGCAACGGGAATGCCGTTTT